CCCACTCAAGATACAGCCTTATGAAACATGCTCTTCCTTCTCTTAGGAACTGTCAATAATAATTTTTTACTTGAGTGTACTTACTCAGGTGACATTGTCATTTTGATAGTTCTCCAAGATAAAACCTAAACTGCTTTACTTTTGTATAAAGTTTCCTTGATCCTTATCACATCTGTGTGAGCCTTTTGCTCCTTGAATATGAAGCAGAACCTGGAAACAGCCACCTGAGAGGCCAACCACCAGCTACATATTTACCACTGTCAGGTGTGCTGAGGGGATTTGTGATGTGGGACAATGCTTGTTAAATAGAAAAATGATTGGTCAGTAGCCAGGCAGGATGTATAGGAGGGACTACCAGACTAGGAGAATTCTGGGAAGAGGGAACAGAGAGTGATTTGCCAGCCAGATGCATAAGAAGCAAGATAAGAATGCCTTACTGAGAGAAGCCACGTGGATAGACACAGATAAAAATTAAGAGTTAATTTATGTTGTAAAAGCTTGTCAGTAATAAGCTTGAGGGATAATCCCAACAGTTTATATTTAATATAAGCCTCTGTGTGACAATTTGGGATTGAATGACTGCAAGACTAAGTGGGAAAGAAGCTTACATCCACAGATTTGCGATAAGATGCCCAACAGAGTCATTGTGTGAACACTGTGCTTTCACACACTAGTCATTGTCTTTAATTTTAATACACTTGTTTTCTTGTATCTTCATTTTCTGATAACACAGACATTTTTTAAGTTGTTATATTCTCACTCTTTACATACCAGACTTTGTGTTGTGAATAATTATTTTGTTAAGAACTAATTTAAGATGCAATACTTTCTCAGAGAACAAGCAGTTTATATGGAAAGAGAGAAAATAAGACAGAGACCTAAACCATTTGTCTGTGATTTTGATATTTAAGGAGACACTGCAGATCATTTGCAATATTTATTTTTTCTCTATTATTTATTTAATTTAGAATCAAGCACGTTTTACATGTCAATACCAGTTCCCTGCCACTTCCATCCACACCTGCCCCCCACTAATCCCCTATCCCAATCCTTTTTTGCTCCCCAGGGAAGGCTTCCCTGGGGCATCTTCAAAGTATGTCATATCCTTTGGAGCAGGGTCTAAGGTGAGAGAGTATCCCTTTATGGGGAATGGGGTCCCAAAGTTCATTCCTATGCTAGGGATGCTGATCTACTACCAGAGGCCCCATAGATTGCAGAGGCCTCCTAACTGACACCCACATTCAGGGGGTCTGAATGAGTCCTATACTGGTTTCCCATCTATCAGTCTGGGGTCCATGTGTTCTCACTTGTTCAGGTCAGCTGTTTCTCTGGGTTTCATCAGACCGGTCTCGACCCCTTTGCTCATCGATTCTCCCTCTTTGTAACTGGATTCCAGGAGTGCAGTTCAGTGTTTGCCTATGGGTATCTGCTTCTGCTTTCATCAGCTACTGGATGAATGCTCTAGGATGGCATATAAGGTAGTCATCATTCTCATTATTGGGAAGGGCATTTAAATACCCTGCACACCATTGCTTAGATTGTTAGTTGGAATCATTCTTGTGGATCTCTGGACATTTCCCTAGTGCCAGATTTTTCTTTAAACCTATAATAGCTCCCTCTATTATAATGTCTCTTTTCTTGGTCTCCTCTATTTTTCCCTGGACTCACCTTTCCTATTCCCTCAAGTCCTCTTTTCCCATCCTCTTCTCCCCTTCTCTTTCTCCTAGCTCCTACTCCCCTCCTTCTGTGTTCCCAATTTGCTCAGGAGAACTTGCCACTTTCCCATTCTCCAGGGGACCATGTATGTCACAAGCAAGTCTCCAAAACAAAAAATGATCCCATTAAAATGTGGGGTACAAAACTAAATAGAGAATTCTCAATAGAGAAATCTAAAATGGCTGATAGACACTTAAGAAATTCATCAACATCATTTGTCATCAAGGGAATGCAAATCAAAACAACTCTGAGATACCATCTTACTCCTGTCACAATGGGTAAACACAAAAACAATGACAGTTTATGCTGGAGAGGTGGAGGAAGGGGAACATTCCTCCACTGATGGTGGGAGTGCCAACTATTACAGCCTCTTTGGAAATACATATGGTGGTTCCTCAGGAAAATGGGAATCAGTCTACCACAAGATTCAGCAATTCCACTCTTAGGCATATACTCAAAAGATGCACATTCATACAACAAGGACATCTGTTCCACTATGTTCATAGCAGCATTATTTGTAATAGCTAGAACCTGGAAGCAACCTAGATGCCCCTCAACTGAAGAACGGATAGAGAATATGTGGCACATTTACACAATGGAGTACTACTTAGCAGGGGAAAAAATGGAATCTTGAAATTCACAGACAAATGGATGGCACTAGAATAAACCATCCTGAGTGAGATAACCCAGTCACAAAAGACAAACATGGTATGTACTCTCATATATGGACTTTAGACATAGATCTAGGGAGTGCCAGCCTACAATCCCACTTCCAGAGAGTCTGGGAAACCAGGAGGACTCTAAGAGAGGTATGCATGGTACCCCAGAGAAGGGGAATAGCACAGGATCTCCTGAGGGGACTGGAAGCATGGGCAGAAAGGAGAGGGACCTTGGGAAAAGTAAAGAGAAGAGAATGGGAGAGGAGGACATAGGGTAGCAGGAAGGTTGAGTTAGGGGGAAGAATAGAGGAGAGCAGCATGAGAGATACCACAATAGAGAGAATCATTAAAGTTTTGAGGAGAGACCTGGCACTAGTGAGATTTCTAGAGATCTACAAGGGTGACACCAACTGGCAATCTGAGCAATAGTGGAGAGGCTAACTTAAAGGTCCTTCCCTGATAATGAGATTGACGACTACCTTATATGCTATCCTAGAGCCTTCATCTAGTGGGTGAGAGAAGCAGAGGCAGACACCACAGCTAAACACTAAACTGAACTCCTGGAAATCAGTTGCAGAGAGAGAGGAGTCATGAGCAAAGGGGTCAAGACCAGGCTGGTGAAACCCACAGAAGCAGCTGAATTGAACATAGGGGAGTTCTTGGACCCCAGACTGATGGCTGAGAGGCCAGCATGGGACTAATGCAGACCCCCTAAACATGGGTGTCAGTGGGGAGGCCATGGCAATATTTGAGGCATCCGGTAATAGGTTAGTATTTATCCCTGGCATCCAAATGGACTTTGGGAGTCCATTCCACATGCAGGGATGCTCTCTCAGCCTGAATACATGGGGGAGGGCCTGGGCCCTGCCCTAGATGATATGACAGACTTTGGAGATAACCCATGAAGGGCTTCACCCTCCCTGTAGATTATAGTGGGGATTGGGTGGGGGTTGTGCGAGTTGATGTGGGGCAGAGGAGGAGGGGTGAGGAGGGAACTGGAATTGACATGTGAAGCAAGCTTGTTTCTAATTTAAAAATAAGTAAATAAATAAATAAATAAAAGAAAAATATGGTATTCACTCACTCATATATGGATTTCAGTCACAGAGGAAAGAATTATCAGCCTACAACCCATACTTCCAGAAAAACTAAGATACAAGGAGGACCTTAAGAGAGACACTCAATTGCAACATTTGGATAGCTCTAATTATCCACTCCCTCTGGCTTTTCTCACCTTTACAATGATTTGACTTTCTCCTGTGGCTTTAATGCTATTATCCCATGTACTAATTGAGAAGAGTGACTTATTCCTTACATGTTATTGGTCCTCACATTGAGGACAAGTAGGCTTCTGTTGGGTTTTCCTGTAAGTACACATTTAAGAAATAGCCAAAAATATGATGGATTATTATCCACCTATTATTGTTGATGACTGAATAAATTAGTTTTTTAAAAATAATTTCCTATTGTTTAAGATGTTTTATCTATGCTACTTTATTATGGTTATTAAAGCCATCTAATATATATTTTGGTACTGAGAATGGTACTGGAGGAAGAGAGTTTCAAGGATAAGCTTTCTGATTGGTTCAGTAGTTTATGAATCTGGCCTTTTAACCTGGTTACTAATGACAATTTCTAGAAGTAAAGAGAAGTATAATAGTCCATGATTTTCTTTGGATAATCAAACAGTTATAAGTAAGGAGCTCAGTGACCATGTATATCTTGAACATTGCTGGTGAACTAATGAGTATGACAAATATAATGCGTATGACTAGTTGCTTCTAATGTGTGTGGACAAAAATGGTGAAAAAGGATTAGTTCTTTGATTTGGATTCCAAGGCCAAATGCCTGAAACTGTCTCCACGTGCCCTGAAAGAGTTCTTAATTTCCTATAGCTTAAGGGCTAAGATCACCAAAATTCTTATTCAGCATCCTATGTCATGATATTGTAGGTAACAATTCAAGATGAACTACCATCCAAGCAGTATAACTGCTACTAGAGGGAGAGCACTGCTTGGGAAATAATGGAATCTTATTTGTTGGAATGAAGCTATGTGGGAAGCCCATAAAGAATCTCAGGGTGTAATGCACTGAAATTCTAAAGAGTCTTCTTTGTTGGTGGAAGCCTCTCTATCTTCAGAGAAAGTGCCCCCCTCACACTCAAGCCATAGCAAATTCCTCACCCCTAGTGTTATGCAGTCTTTCTGCTCATCTTTTAGAAAATATGTCTTGCGTGGATTAAGGACACTGCAAAAACCCTTGGCCAACAGATGCCATGCAAAACAATGCTTAGTCTCCTCAGGACCCACCCCCTTTTCCTGTTTGTTTCTAGACCTATATATAACTAGACATAATTCTCAGCAGTCTCTTAAGGTTAGGTACAAATTGTAATTCCTGAGAAGGGGCACTGTCCCTCAAAACAACTACATAACTTGAGTTTTGTAGTCTCTACAAACAGAAATCTAGAAACATAGGAATGGAGAGTAAAGGTGCAGGATAATGGTAGAAGGAATATATAATTGGATTTAGGCTAAATTTAATGGCATGGCTAATTAACCAGAAACTATTAATTGCTACAGTTTGGGGGGTATTTTCATTTGAATAACTTTGAATTTTGTTCTTCAGATTCACTATGATCTGTCTTGGAGCAAAATTTAGTAGTTACGTTGGTGGGCTGAAAGGTGGCCTACAGTGAATAGGATAGAAAAGCAGTTCGGGAATTGGGAAGAGGAAGGAGTAACAGGTAAGGCATAATAACCAAAGAGAAGAAGCCATGAAAAAACTCACTACTTTATAAAGTAAAAATTACTATAAAAGAGCTTGAACAGAGGTGCCCTGCATAGATGGAAAACTTGAATCTCAGAAATCATAAATGATTATTTGAAAATCCCAGTATTAATTGTGGGCAATCTCCATTGGAACTGTCAATAATGAAGGGCCCAGAAGCTTCCTCAAATGGTATTGCCTGTCTGCCATGGCTCTTGCTTGTTAAAATTAGTTTTAACTGCTGTATAAAATATGATATATTTGTGTCTTTAAACCATGTTTGATTTACTTTATAAATAACTACAATATAATGAAATAGGAAACTGAACTTACTGCAAAGTTATCTTTAGCAATATTTAGAGAAAACTGTTACTAATAAGGCAAAATTCCTTTTTCAAAAGTCAGTCAAACATTCAGTAATCTTGTAAATGTGACTATATTTCCCACCTTTCAGTCATAATATTTAATTATGAGGTAGTTTACCAATGATCCTTTACTACCTTTAACTCTTTAGAGTTAGAGGGATAATAGTAACCCCCTTTTTCCAATTAAAATAAAGGGAGCATATAAGCATAGTATATTAAGAACTTGTGAAAGGGCATTTGAATAAATAATGTGATTTTAAAAAAATACCACAATGGCAATGTGAATTAAACTAGATAAATTATCAACATGAAATTTAGACTGCAGAATAGCTGTGAAATGTGAGTTCATCAACATTCTGACTCACAATGCACCAAGTAGGTTCACATCCTTGTGAATTGTCAGGACACACATTGGATTCAAACTTCACAGTTGAAAGGTCATGGCTTAGCTCATAAAGCAGACAAGTAAATTCACTAGAAGCATCTATTATCCTCCATGGATTCTCTGTTATCTTCCCAACTTTGCTATTTCTTTGTAGCTACATTTTCTCTACATAAGGTAACAACCACAAGCCTCACTGACCACTCCCACAGAGCTTCACTGTGCTCCAACTATCTTCCTCTGTTATTCAACAAATCAAGGGAGAATTGATAATAGAAGCCACTTTCAATGGAGAGGGAAACAGGGTGAAGTATACTGCTATGGTTGATAATGATCACCAACTTGAAGAAATCTAGAATAACCTAGAAGCCTCCACAAACACCTAGGAGGTCTTCTATAGAGTGATTTAGCTTGGCTATGCCAATAAGGAATTACCTTGATTACGTTAATTGACGTGAGAACACCCACTCTAAAAGTGTCCTTCCTACTTGATGGTACAAACAGACAAAAGCTAGCAGAATACCAGCATCTATCACTTTCTGCTTCCTGACCGTAAATGCAATGTGATCAACCACCCTAAAGTCCTACTGTCACAACGTCCAAAGGTAATATCAAACTGTGAGCCAGCCTGAACGCTTCTTTCCCACTAGGTTTCTTTGTCAAGTATCTTGTTATGGCATTAAGACGAGTTACTACACATCTGCAAAGCAATGGCCATAAGCCCTCTCGTCTCCTTCCCTCTGTGACACGTGTGGTGGGGAATTCCAATCATATGGGTATTTTCTCTCCAGGTGTTGACAGGGCATCTGGGAAGTGCCCTTAAAGAGTCACAGAAGGCAAAACTAGGAAGATCTACAATCCCATCGTCTATGGAGGTTGAGGCAGGAGGATTTTATGTTCCGGGTGAAGTTAAGATACAGTGGGGTCAAAGCTAATCTGTGCAAATGAGAACTCACCCCCTAATGAAACGTAAGACACTAAAAGATTGGTGAGTACATCTCAGTGGTGAGTGCTTGACTGACATGTGTGAGGACCTGAGTTCAGTCTCCAGGACTGTGAAAAATAGAGGTCTAAGGCTGAGTAAAAACAAAACAAAATACCCCCCTGGAAGTCTTAAGTACACCATCAATACATAACACTATGAAACTGAATGAATCCATAATTAATTATCATTTTATACCCAGAGATAACATTCTGAAGTAAAAATCGCAACTGAGGCAATATTTCAGTCTGTTGTCCTTTTTTCTAGCATCTCTTCTGTCACTGACAACCCTTCCCCTCCCACAGCAACACTTTCAGTTAAGAGTCTCAGGCAGTTTCTGATGCCTTCCTTTCTTCTTCTGCCCAAGGGTCCCCTTGGAAATGGAAAAGAAGAGGGGAGAAGATGTAGGGGGAACTAGGCCCTGCAGGCAGCACTTTATACTTCTCTTGTAGGATTGCTGATGAGAAGGGGAGTGTATATGGCCCTCCTGTGAGCCTGGGGCACAGTCTTGAGAAAAGCAGCAAAGTCTTTTGAATGCTTGGTGACACCAAAATGAAGATTTGTGAGATATAGCTGATTATCTTGATAGAAAGGAAATATTGAGTGTTAATTTGTTCCTATTAGTGTTCCTCAATTAAATGCTAGACCAAAATTAATTCCATTAAGGTAGATTTCTTTCAGGTTTTCGCATGCCTACAGTAACTTAAATAATCTGAAGATGTAAACTTCCATATCCTACCTAACTAAATCAGGGACGTAAGCAGTCTTCGTGGTTCTAGACCCCTGCAAGCCACAGTCACACTATGAGGAATGGAGCATGAAGTTAAGCAATGGAGTCTAGATTGCCTATCCATATAATTAAGAGGTATTCATTTCTATCTTACTTCTACACAGTTTAAAGAATAGTTTACATTTATCTGTCTTCCATGATGTTCTCACATTATTCTAAATTCTTTCCTTAAATGATTCATCTTTGTTACTATTAGCTACCTATGGCATCATTATTTTATACTGTATATCAATCTGTTCTCATCTGTTCTCAGTTTGAATTTCTGTAACATTGCTTTCCTCCCATTTATGTTAAAGTAGTAACAATCCCTTAATACAGGGAACTTGATATGCTAATTTCTCTGTTTTCCAAACTTTTGTTCTTTCTAGGTTTTCATGACAATTGGGGAGGGGGTGTATGGATTAGCTGATGAAAATTTTCAGTATGTTGTTGTGCTGGGCTTTGTTTTAAAACAGGCGAGGCTTTTTGTAATGACCAAATTTATAAAGCATCATTTTTCTATTCACATATTTGATACATTTTCTTAGATGGTGTAGTTTTTTTAGAGTATCTGGAGTAGTCATTATGACTTTCATATATGTGCTTTGATCACATCTTGATTAAATACACAGATGTGTCTTATTTTTCTTTCACAGTGTAAATATTTTATTATTTAAATTAGAAACATGCCTGCTTCAAATGTCAATCCCAGCTTCCTCTCCCTGCACACACCCCCACTCCGACCCAGGTTTCATGGATCCCTCAGTTTTAAAACAGTGCATCGTTTATCATCAAAGTTCAAGGTTAATATGTCATAAAATTGGCCGGGCACTGGTGGCACACGCCTTTAATCCCAGCACTCAGGAGGCAGAGGCAGGAGGATTGGTCTGAGTTTAATTACAGAAAGTGGGTCAAAGTCATCTATAATTAGCATGCCTATTATTTTATAAGCTTTTCAATAAGTGTCATTCTATTTAACAGGTTCTAAGTAAGAATTCCCAGGAACCATCCTTAATACTTTTCACTAAGCCCCTGCTACACTAAGCATACTACTGGACATGTTCCAAAGTTTTATCTCAATACCATTCACAAATCTCCGTTACCTCATCTTCCCTCCATCACCCAAGAAATTTCTTTTACTTTGTCCTTTGAATGACTCTAATGACTAACTTTTCTAGTCTGCTAAAGCCAGAAGTGTGATTAAATACTAACACCCTTGTAACTGCATCATAACTACGTTAATGTCATGAGTATTACAAACCTGGGCTCCTTCAATTGGGGATGGATTTCTATAAAATTAATGATTCCTATAAATTTCTGTTTACTCCTGCAATCCCCATCTCCATCACTCAAACAATGTTACTCATCTACCTCCTCTATCTTTATCTCCACATCTCCTATATCTTTATAAACCCAACCCCGTTATCCCCATCTCTCCCCCCATCTATCCCCAACTTCCAGCCCTTTCTATCCCCACCTCCCAGCCCTTTCTATCCCCATCTCCCAGCCTTCTCTACCTGCATCTGCTAGCCCACACTTTCTCTCTGTTGCCATCATTGAGCAACCGTCCACAGTGAACCTCACCTCAGATCCAAGGCAGTGATGTCAGCCAACCAGGAATGTAAACTTGGTACCCAAGATCTAAAAGGAACCTTTTCTCCTTTAATGTGATTTGATCCAATATCTCAGAGACTCTCAGATATGGGTTCCTTCCACTTCTGGCATTGTGCTCCAGAGGAAATAGATTAAGACCTACCTGTATCACTGAAATCATTGAAGACTACTGAATGTGGACATGTAGAAGCAATGGGAATCTACTGACATGAACTACACTTATGATGTTGCCACCATACTAAGTTTGTACATTTTAAATTGGAAAATTTGCAGATGCACCAAAATTACTCAACTAACAATTTTGCAGTCCATCAAAAGTCATTACTGTGTTACTCCCTCCATGTTTTATTGCTGTGAAAACACAGCATGACTATAGAAAAAACATTTAACTGGGGTCCTCCTTACAGTTTCACAGGGTGACTCCGTTAACATCATTCCGGGGAGCATAGTGGCAGGTAGGCATAGCACTGGAGCAATAGCTGAGTGTTTAAATCCTTATCTAAAGACAGGAGGCAGATAAGAAAGCAAGACTTGGCCTGGAGTAAGATTTGAAATCTCAAACCCACCTTTCCTCTAATAGAAGGAGTGACCAGTCTCCTCCAAAAGGCCAAACATCCTAATCTTTCCCAAGCAGCCCATGAACTTGAAAACAAACATTCAAACATATGAGCCTATGGGTGATTTTATATTCAAACCATCACAGTTACCTAGACCAATAGCATTTCTGTTTTTTATGAATGCATACACCTTTATTTTATTAAAGGAACATAAATTATAGAAGAAACGTAAATGCAAATTTAAGAGAAAGCTGAAATAAAATGTATTCATAAAATGTGCATTTTAAAAGCATATATGTGTGTCTGTGATTGTGCGTCTGTTGTTGCTGTAAGGAAGTCTAGTGAATGGAAAGATTTAAGGACATCAACACTTTCCGTCACAGATTAACTATGCTGCCTTAGTATGTGTGTATCTCTCCCCTAAATCTGTTTTTTACCAAATAACTTTAGTGACGATGTGGTTAGTGATTTCCAAGAAAATTAAATAAGGTAATAAATGTGAAAATATATTTCATATCTCAATTGGCATGCAAACTAGAGATTTTCAAACTATCATTGTTTATTATTATCATAAGGCAATGCTTGACAAGGTAAGTATGAGTTTCAATTCTGATGACTGTTTATCACCATATCTCTACAACACTTTTCAGAGATTGTCAATCTCCTTAGTAAGCAGCAGACATGTGCTTTGCCTTTTCAAAGAGAAATGCTGACACTGTATTGTCTAGAATTGTAGTCATATAAGTTAGAGCTGAAGCGAGCTATATGTTGTAGTTTTCTTCTTTGTCACCTTCTAAACCTGAGAGTAAAGGGAAAACACAATGGGAGTTTTTCTGCTGGTTTTTCCTTTCATAGTTTTGGGTTAATTAACACTGAGTCCCTGAGATTATATAACAATTTTGTGCAGCAAATTTGGTGAAAGAGAGCAAACCATGTTTTACTTCTCTGCCAATGCTTAGGTAGGTACATTTGGAAAGAAATAAAGCCAAACAAATCTGTCAAATCACTGGTGTGCTATCAAGTGTTGTTACTCCTTGAATGAATTTCTTTCTCAGGCCCTTCTTACAGACTATAGACATCAAAAGAATTCCTACTGCAGTTTTCTCATTTCTACTCCAAGAAAAGTGTGCCATAGGTCATACCCTGAGTTCAACCAGCAGTGTTGCAATCACAAGTTAATGCTCACTGTTTCCCCTCCATGTGACCCCTGCTGACCCAGTCACATGACTGAGCTTCCCCTATAATATTTCATTCTTATTACAGCAGATTTTTCTGTACCTGAAAATGCATACTTCCTTTGTTTAGGGAGGCTCCACTACCCACTACTGCCCTAACACAAAGAATATAATCCACAGAGTTTAGCCCACATTTTAAACTCCTAATAATTAACACTCAGAAAACCCTCTGCTTTTTAAAATACATCAAAAGAGCAGTATTTTGTAATATGTCAAGACAGCTCTTCAATTCACCTACACAAATAAGAAAATTGTCATCCATTGCTCTAAGCAATAAAATGAGTAAAAAGGTCAAGAATTTACAGTGACATGACTCCCAACGTTCAACTCTCTTGACAATGTCTAATAACATAATAAGATACATATATATGAATATATATGCATATATATTTATCTAAATGCTTTCTAAGCCCTTCATGGGAATATTTAAAGAGGATAATAAGTGCCAGTGTAGACAATTTGATGTAGCAGTGTAGACAATGTGGTGTTTTATCAATGTCAGCGTAACTAGGTTGGGACTCACCTAGCACACACACTTCTGAGCATGACTGTAAGAATATCTTCAGGTGTAACTGAGAAGGGAAGATCTACTCTGAAAATCACAGACTTCCACCCACATGCCATAGCTTAGACTCAATAAAAGTGTGGAATGGCAGAAGCCACGAGAGCCCCCAGCATCCATCTCTTTTTCTTTGCTTCCTCTTTGCTGACACGTTTTCATTCCTGTCATCATGCCTGTATATCACATTTTCATCTCAACTTTCTTATTATTTACCTAATGTTTATATTTATAATCCATTTCTTTTTCTCATTCTAAGAAAAGATCTTTTATTGTTTATTTCATATTTCTTTTTATATTTTTTATTACTTTAATTTTAAATAGGTTGCTTCAAATGTCAATCCCAGTTCCCTCTCCCTCCCCTCCTCCCATACCTCCCCCCATCCTCCCCCAGTCTCCCACATTATCACAACTTCCTTTCACATAGAGGATATCTAGAGTCTGTCATTTCACTCAGGGCAGGGTCCAGGCACTCCCCTGAGAGTCCAGGCAGAGAAAGCATCCCTGTTTGTGTTATGGACACATGCAGGCCTCCCAGCTGTCACTCTGGGGTGCCAGAGCTCCCCCTTGTTCAGATCAGCTGTCTCTGCTGGTTTTGCCAGCCCATTCTTTGCCAATTTTCTCATCGCTCCTCTCTCTCTCTGTCACTGGGTTCCATGGGTTCAGTTCAGTGTTTAACTGTGGGTGTTTACCTCTGCTTCCATCAGTCACTGGATGAAGGTTCTAGGATGGCTATAGACATCAAGTTCATTATGTCATCAAGCCATGACACAGTAATGGCTTCTTTTCTTTTTTAAATTTAAATTTAAATTTAAATTAGAAACAAGGTTGCTTCACAGGTCAAATCCAGGTCCCACTCCCTTTCCCTCCCTTCCTCTCACGCCCTACCTCCAACCCCTCCAATATCTCCTCATTTCCCCAGGGAGGATGAGGCACTCCATGGGGGTGTCCATAGTCTGTCATTTCGCCTACGGAAGGGCCTAGACCCTCCTCAAGAGTCCAGGATGAGAGTACATCTCTCATTGTTGGATGGGTACCCAATGTCCATTGGCTTCATTTTCTTTTAATCAGTACAAAAGAGTTGAGAAGACATATCTTCTGGCACGGCCTAGAGGATTTCTGTCCTGGGTG